AAAAAAAAAAGGAGACAAGTTCGAGGCAAACCTATCTTGTTTATTAAATGAGGCGAATTCGAACACTCGGCCCGGCTCTAGTAGCACCCAGTATTATTAATGATTTACTATTTTACTGCTGTCATTTTCACTTGTAGTGGAGGATTTTTACTCGTGGACATTGAGCACCATATCTCATCCTATTCAGCACCATATCTCATCCTATTGGAGTGTACCGTGTGTTCTACCTACTTTGGGGCAAAGTGGAATGTCCAGTATAGTGTACAATTGTACATGCACTAGCGAATTTTTTTATCTACCAACTGTTTATTTCGTCTCATAGTGATGAAGATATATCTGTTATAATCGTCATCTAAACTGAGAAAGAAATCAAACATATAATTTAAAACTATAGGTAATATAATATTAGAAAAAATACAATTAGTGGTTTTTAGTGATATGTAGGATAAAAATAATTTTATTTGAAACAAAACATATAATATAATGATGGAAAGTCTTGTGCTATGATCACAGATCCTTTCATAAAGAAAGAAAAAAAAAAAAAAAGAACTGTAAATTAAATTAAAGAGGCCTAATTAATAATGATAAAAAAATATATAAATAGATAAAATTCACATAAAAATGAAGTAATTAATTCGATCATACTACAATAAAATGATCAAATTCCAACGGAAAGTTCCAATACAAATATATTTGAATGGAATTCCAACGGAAATTCCAACAAAATATTCCGTTGGAATGAGTTTTTCATTGGAATTTTCGTTGGATTTTGAAGATTCCAACGGTTGATTTTCCAACAGAGGTGAAAAGAAAAATTCCAACGGAAATTGCTTAGTCCAACGGAAATTCCTACGGTAAAAAACCGTTGAAAAAATAGCCGTTGGAATCATCAAATTCCATCTAAAATTCCAATAGAAAATTCATTCCAAAGAAATATTTTTGTTAGAATTTCCGTTGGAATCATTCCAACGGAAGCTATACCATTGGAATATCCGTTGGAATTTTAGTTGGAATATATTATCTTAGGATTTTTCGTTGGAATATGACATTTTTTTTGTAGTGTCATGTTTGATTATTCAAAAGGAAATAACTTTAATTCAAAGCGATGGTTTTGTGTTCAGTTCATCGTGTCATGGACATAAGTAGTTCATCAAAGCGATGATTTAGCTCTTGAGCTTGCAAGTCAATCACTGCATAAAATAAATAGATCAACTCGATAATGGTGAAGATTTCTCATCTTTTCACTTTGACGCCATGATCTTCCATAAGTTGTATACAAATCTTCCATAATCAGTATAGTTATCTCATGATCACTGCAAAACTTTGAGACTTCAACCGACAGATCGTCTCAATCATTTTCTCTCATCTCTTGGAGACGGAATTTTGCTACTTGAACGAGAATGAATGCATTCACAACATCTTGATCTTTTCTTTGTAGAACTCGAGATAACTAATGTATTACTCTCAAAATTTTCATCATAAGATGTAAGCCAAATATAAAGTTAATGGCCTCAACCCTTTTGGAATCATCATTCCTGTTCTCCCCTAAAAACTCAATAACATTGACAACATATGAAAATAAATGCATTTAGTGTCTCCTGATAACTTCAAAATCATTTCTTGATTATTGATTTGAATGATCTTGTATTAAAAGCTAAATTGGCTAAAGGCATGGGTCATAATTATTATGAAGAACCCGTTTGGGAACAATCTTTCTGATCTTTATGCTATCATTTTCAATCCCTTTGATGACTTTTTCCATTTGGGTTTCTGGAACCATGTCTCAAGTGCTTACACAAATCTCCAACAACATTAGTTAAACGAGTAACAATATTTAAAAAAGAATATACACTTGTATGCTTTTTAGCAACAACATCAAATGTGAATTGGGCAAAATAATGGACATAATAAAAACTAGAGTTTCTCATTAGCATCAGGTTTTGTAGATCATTGAACTCACGCCTCGTGTTGTCAGTCCTATCATTACCCTGCCCTCTCAATGTGAAAATGCTCAGGCCATAAGCACAAAACAAAGAATAACTACTTTTTTCCAGTGATGTTGCAATTGTACCACTAATATCAACAATTCCAAAAAAGCGTTCAGTGATACATTCATTCTTATTTATATAGCGGATAAAATCCTCCATCTCTTTGACGACTAAGACGTCCTGACACCCATAACCTAAATAGAGAAAAAAAAAATCATTTCCAAGATCTTCGACAATAACATTCGTTGTTTCGACTGTGACCGCATTTATAATTTCTTTTTGGTGTGAGTTTAAGATTTTCAGAAGCATTTTTCAGTATAACATTCTTTATTTCCTCATTATATGAAGCAAGAACTTCTAGAAGTTGAATGAAATTTCCCTTGTTTAATGATCCTTTTGGCTCATCACTCCCTGAAAATGCAAACCTTGGCTAAGGAGAGAGCGAAACCAAACAATTGAAGCATTCAATCTACAACGATAATAAATCTTGTATTGATTTGAAATTTTATAAATAGACATTTTAATGTTTTGTGCTTGATTCATCAAATCTTGACAAGCCAATCTACATTTGTGTTTGTGTGGATTTTGTAAGTGATGAATCCAATTTTCTCCTTTTAATCTCTGGAAAACTGTTTCCAGGACCAATTGCTCTAGATAAAACTGCTTTTGGTTAAAGCTCTGCTCTGTGAATTAGGCAAATATCCCGGACCGGGAAATATGTTTTCTCTTTCATATGCATTTTTTTTTTTTTTTNTAATCAATCAACTCAATCAAATCTTCACTTTTTCTTTTCTTTTTTTTTTAAAGAAACACCCAGGAGGGTGGAGTTAGGCCGGACCACCAACCTGTATATATAAAAAAGGCCCTAAATGGGCTAAAAAGTCACAATCTTTAAGTACAATGTCTGGAATACATCAAGTCAAACGAAAAGTAAAACCAAAAACAAAAAAGAAAACAAGAAAAGACAGGCAACAGCTGCCAGTAATACAAAGATAACGCCTCCTGCCAGTAATACAAAGATAACGACTCCTCAATCAAATCTTCACTTAACCGCGATGTCCTGTCTTATGTGGCGAGCTTATAGCTGAAACTACAACTAGCACACACACACACACTCTCTCTCTCTTTTTCGTTTACATGGGTCCACGGGCGCTTAATTCTTCAGTGATCCATGATGTCTTGTCTGATGTGGCGGAGCACCACCGGAATTGTGACCTCCGGCGCGCTGAGGTGAGGCAGGTGGCCCTCGGTTGGCATCATCTCCACAACCGACGGACCTCCCAAGTTGTTGCTCAGATACTCCCCCACCGAAACTGGGACCATAATGTCCTTGGAGCTATGGATGATGTGGCACGGGACTGTGATGTGGCGTAGATAGGGCCTCAAGTCAAGCCCACATATCATACGAGTCATGCAATAGGCAATATCAGGCCGCATGTTGAACAGGGTCCTACAGTACTCCTGCAGGGCCACCGATTCCAGGTCACAAGCCAGCAAAAGTGGCGCATGTCCCAACGACGACGACTCGAAGTTCTCCTCCATGGCCCTCAACGCCTCATCTATCTCCTTCTGCTCAAATCCACCGTAATACTCCTCTGTGTTGGTTATCCTGTATATTCAACTCCAAACATATATACGGCCACCAAGTCAAAAACTACTCGACAATCAATTAATTAATTACGTACCTTGGGGTCGGCGTAACCATGACGAGTTTGTGAAACAAGTCTGGCCTGAAAATAGATGCCACGGCTCCAGCCATGGCTGACATGGAGTGGCCCACGTAAATGCACCTGCTGACTTGGAACTCCTCCAGAATGGCAATCAGGTCGTAGGAGTAGCCTTCCAAGCTGGAATAACGCTCGAAATCAAAATAGTCGGGATTGGTGGTCCCCGCTCCCATATTGTCGTAGAGTAGGACTCTGTAGTCGTCTATGAGGTGGGGGACAAGATGCTTCCACACGGATTGGTCGGTGCCGTAACCATGGCTTAAGACTACGGTAGTTTCCCCCGACCCTAAAATGGTCACGTTGTGGGCTGGTCCAATTCTGCTCATCTTTATACTTCTGATAATATTATGAATATTCCTCCTTTTTTGTGTGTGAGTTGTGTATTAGAGTTTTATGCATGGCCGTGTGTTCTTTTATAGGTGTCAAGTTGTCTTGCTCGTATTCTCATTTTAAGGCATATATTTAGCGAGTGAGTTAATTCTTGTTGGCGCGTGGGGTATCTGAAATCAACCTGATGTTACTGTCTGGATTCTTTAATCTCTAGNNNNTTTTTTTTTTTTTTTTTTTTTTTCAATATTTGTGGGAATCATGTGTTCCGATTTTGTAGGGAAGTAACTGGATTAGAAGATGAAGACGTTTTGCTAGATTAAATTTTATGTATTTTTTATGCCTTTAAGTGTGTGTTGACTTTATTGGGAATGTGGCTGATGCGATCTACTGTGACAAAATCATATTCAAACTTGTACCAACACAAAAAAAAAGAAAAGAAAAAAAAATCATATTCAAACTATTTCATTACTTTTTTTTTTAACAAAAAAGGGAGGTCAAGGCCTAACTGACGCTAAAGCAAAACGCGACGAGGATAAACTACACCAATAACTTCATGTTTAAGCCACTTGCCGACATATGGTGGTGGAACATGTATATGATGCACCCCTAAGGGGGCGATTGGATATGGTTTGAACAGTAAAAAAATTAATCAAAACTCAAATTTAACTCAACTTTAATTCAACTCCATTATCTTCAATATTATCAATATAATTAAATAATATCAAACAATCATTTTTACACATCACATCAACTTTAATTCACTATTCATCCACTCACATAATTTTAACTAACTATCACTTCCAATCATTTTTCTCTTACTTTACATCAAATCAACTTTAATTATTATTTTTAAATATTATTTAATATATTCACTAACAACTAACCATACCACCTTTTTTTAAAATTAACTATAGTTAAAAAACAAACCAAATAAAAACTAGTTGAATCGATAAACAATCACACCCTAAGGCCTTGGATGCTACTACACTTTAGATAAATGAGATGAGTGTCACTGGATATTTTTATTTTTATTTTTTTTGAAAAATCACTTACAAGTAATGGCCCGACGATGATCGGAAATTGATTAAGTGCAATTTATTGCAAAGTTATATGGGCAAAATGTTACAAAAAAAGATTGAATGGGTAAAATGAAAAAAAAAATGCAAAAGACCCCATTATGATAATATTATCAATTCCCCTGTTTGTGTGTTAGAGTTATGGCAGTGTGTTCCTTTGTAGGTGGTATCCTTATTGAAGACATATTATATTCAATTCAGAAAGGTTTAGTTAATCTTGTGATCCGATTTTGTAGGGAAGTAAATGGATTAGAAGATGAAGACTTTTTGCTGGATTAAATTTTATGTATTTTTTTTGTCTTAAATTATGTGTTGATTTATTGGGAACTAGTACGTTGCGATACACGAGATGTAAAATTTGGAAGAATGATATAACTTCACGTGCATTAGGATCGAAATTGAAATTATTAAAATACATAAGAATATTGTTGAATCATAAAAAGTTCGGTAACAATCATATATTATTAAAAACATCCTTGTACACAACATTATAAGTTTGATTATTTGGTAACTCCTCATTATTACAAACTAATATTTTCAAAAGAGACAAATCCTAAAAATCAAACTAACATTTTTGGTGAACAAACTAATATTTTAGGATTGGCGGACAACCTATAATATTTTAGGATTTCTAGGATTTGTCTCTTTTTGGTGAACAAACTAATATTTTAGGATTGGTTATATGAATAAGGCTACCAGTTTTTGGTGTTCTTTTCATTCATTTTCATTCAAACAATCCGATGACTTGTATAATGAAATCTGAATCTTAAGCCGAAATATTTTTTTTAAAAAAAAGAGTTTTTAAAAATTTAAAAGTCAAGGCAATCAGTTCAGATTAATTAAAGGTCAAAGAATTCGCTCCTTGAAATAAAGACTTGTGCTATCATTAACCAAATATCCAGTTATTGATATAGAGTGGTTACCAAAAAATAGAACGCGATAAGGACGCTTCATGAAAATATCAATGGGATAAGGTCATAACAGATCGCTATACATTTTAACAATAAAAGTTCAGATGGAATGATTTATGATAATTATGTCGTAATTAATGAATTAATTAAATGTGTGAAAATGACATAATTAATGAGAAGTGTGAAAATGACAATAACTTACCAGTTTTGGAAAATATTTAATGCAAATCCGACATTGACCATAATTTGACCTACTATTTTGGATAAATGTTAATTCATATTATATAAGTATGGATGTGATTGATGCGATCTACTATTAGAAAATTATATTCTAATTGTTTCATTTACTTTAGATAAATGAGATAAGTGCCATTGGATATAAAATAATTTTCTCTTGAAAACCGAAGTATTTCCTAAAATAAAAATGAAAAATATAGAAAAAAAAAGTTGTTAAAAAAAACTGATGAGATATGTAAATAAAAATAATATTAATTGTTAAGATGGATAGTTAAAATTTATGAGTGAATTAGTAGAGTTTTATTGTTGAAAATTACATAAAAGTTATTTATTTTATTTTTCATTTGTCTTAAATGTTAGTAAAAAGAAAGTGAGATCAAATGAATAATATATTTTCTTTCCATTTCTTTGTTTTTCATTTTAATTTGACTAATGCTAACTAAACATATAATTATATATTTTTTTCTCATAACCAATGCGTCATAGAATGAGACGAGTTGAATTATATAAATTTTAGAAAGAAGTAATTTGTCGGTGATGAAGACATAAAAAGAAAACCCCAATACACAACATCTTATCCTTCGTTAACCCTAATCGTAGGCGTAGTTCTCCTTTTTCTTCTTCGATCTGCCTTCCCCAGCGGCAATCGAGTTCGATCTGGTTTTGTGTTAAGTTCATCGTGTCATGGACAGAAGTAGTTTTGTGTTCACTTCATCAAAGCGATGATTTAGCTCTTGAGCTTGCAAGTCGATCACTGCATAAAATATATCACTCAATAATGGTGAAGATTTCTCATCTTTTCACTTGACGTCTTGATCTTCTTCGAGTTGCATACAAATCTTCCATAACCAAGAACAACTCTTGTTATTTTTGAACATGGAGAGTTTGATTGATTTTTTTTGATGAATTATTCAAGAACAACTCTTAACTCAACTCATGTATATATATTTGCAAGATAGGTTAACTTGTTAACTTAATCCATGTATAAATAATTATGGATTAACTTGTTAACTTAACCTATATATAAATAATTATGGATGAACTTGTTAACTTAACCCATGTATATAAATAATTATGAATTAACTTGTTAACTTAACCCATGTATATATATACATGTTCATTTTAATTCTTTAATCTTAATTTAAAGAATAAAGATAATTACCTATAATTATGAAACTACCTTTCAAAATTACTTCGTAAAAATCTTATCTCCCATGTAAAATAAAATCTCCTCTTTTATGTAGGCTTTTAATATATAATCATATTAATATTTAGATTTGAAATTTTAAAGTCCAACTTTAAAATTCAACTATTAATTTAATAATTCTAATAATAACTTAATTAATATCCAAAGCTTAATTAATTAATCCAATTAATTAATTTATTATTTTCCTTTAATTGACATCTAATTAATATTAAATTTTAATTAAATAATCAAATTATTTAATTAAGTCTTGTCAATTAATCCAACTATTGGAAATACCAATTTGAAAATGTCATCATCTAAAATTTGGTGTGACCTTTTTAGTTTCACTATTAACATAGTAGTGAGTTTACAACTAGTTTATAATTTAAATTAATCTAATTAATTTATATTCTTAAAATTAATTCTTTAATTTCAAGAACCCACAAACCATGGAAACACCTTGCAAATAGCATGATTATCTAGTGTTAAGTGAAATAGCGAGTAAACATTTTCAATTGCAAGTGCATACATGTAAAATTCTTTCGACAACTAATTTCCCAATTAAATCTTGAGCATGAATTTATAAGTCGACCCAATTGATTTAATAACTATGATTCCATTTCAAGTTTATTGATTCCTTTATGAATTCATATTCATCTCGCCTTGGCCAATGTCTTTGAATCACAAACTATGAAAAACATAGGGAATTCACTTATCCACATAAGTGTCGAATTCTTTGTTGGCCACAGATAAACCTCCATACATATTAATACAGTACCCAAAATATCCCTTTTATGATTGTCCATCAATCAAAGGATAAATCAAAGTAAAGCAAAATATGCACAAGATTACTATCGTGCTTCAAGTGTGAGGATCAGTCATGTACTATTGCAACATGAAAATTCTTATTCGACAGTTAAAAACTTCTATTTAAGAATTTTCATCGGGCCATGTTCAGTGAACTTGTTCTCCAACAAGCACCCGCATATATGCATTTGCGTCGACACGCTAATGTTGATGGAATGCAACATTCTCGTCCAACGAGCATGCATCATATGCACAAGTCTTACCAGGTTATTCGATGTCCTATCTCGAAACACCCATCGACTTGGAACTTATTTAAGATCACAGTTTTAAAGACATGTTCCACGATTGCTATCAAATGCATAACCATTTTTCATAGCTAATAATGATCTAAGGACTTTATCATATTTACAAGAAATTTGAACCCTTTCTCTCTCCTGGATCCCAACTTCACCAGAAATATATTTGGTATTGGCAGTGCTCCAACTCCATCACCTTTTGTCTCACACCCGAGAGAGGTGAGGGAAATCCCTATTGAGGTGAAAGACTAGATTGGACCATCTAGTCATTCTGGTGGTGCTCTCAGGATTGAAGATGTAACTGAAACTGCGCGTGAACATGGCCCTAAGATTCGTGGCACAGTTGTAATTGATGATGAAGACGATGAAAGAAGTACACCAAATTCACCAATCACACAAGCTGTTGGGCATGGGACTATAGGCACCTCCACTAATTATAGACCAAGTGCTCCCACTTTTATTGATGTGTCTGACCATGGAGATGAAATATAAGAAGAAATGATACGAGCTGCTATTGAGGCTTCCAAGAAGGGTGTTACAGTGCCAAATCAATTATTTGACGATCATCTTGGTGCCGGGGATCCCTCTTCTCAGCAAGGAGGACAGTCTCAACAAGAAGATGCTGAGCTTGCACGTGTCGTTTCATTGTCATTGCAGACTGCAGAGCGGGAAAAAGCGCTTAGAGAATTGGAAGGGAAGAGTGGAGATTCAGAGGTAGGTCTGATACCTGCTTCAGAGGAGTCGGTTAGCATACTTTCCAGTGGAAGGCGATCTTATTTGGAGCATGGAGGCCCTTCCTTCCAAGATAAAGCTGAAGATGCAAAAGATCTAACACTGGGCAGACATAGGAGGAGTGTTTGTAGTATTTTTGGGCAAGTGGTAACCGAACTACCGGACTCGGGTCGTTCTCAAAGGAAGGCTATTCGGAGCTTCGTTCACTACCTAGTCGTCAAAGTCACATAACCGAAAACAATCCTACACATTCTACTCGCCTGAAGGGATTGAATTTGCATGAAATTAAACTAAAAATCTAGAGCAAATGATGAAAAATGCAAATATAGAGAGAAAGATCGAAACTTTGGTCTACCGGATTCTCCACGACTCAAGAAAAAAAAAACAAACAAAGAGAAAACATGCGAGCATAGTGATCCTAGGTAATCTAACACGAGCTTTCTACACTAGATCATCACGTTTTAAGCAAAGTCGAGATCTCTACACAAGATAAACACATATAGATTTCTAGTACACGTAAGCAAGCAATAAAGATAAAGCAAAAATTAACGAGCATAAACACACAAATTTGAAAGGCAAAGTCGAAGTAGCAAGGCCTAAGCAAGGTACCTACTCTCATATCAATGTTCGGACGAAAATAGTGAATAAAGCTCAAACTTGGATAAAAATAAACTTGCCGAAATTTCGCCGGAAAAATAGAGTCATGAACCTCCCAACCAAAGCATAAAAAAAGAAAAGAGAGAGAAGGGAGAAAATGGAGAGGATTTTCCAACTTAAAAGTTAGGAAATGAGGGTTGTGTCCAAAAATACAAAGCATAATGTCTAAGTATAGCTACACCTTAAACACACACTAAAAACACACACATTTAGTATAACACTCTCGAGGTCTCTAAAATTTTCGCGAGGTCGAGAGTGTGCAAGGCATTGGAGGCGCTGGAAGGGACTCGTGAGGTCACTGCGAAGGGCGCGGGGCGCGGGCACTAGCAGCAGCATGGGTACTCGCGGCGTCGCACTGCAATTCGCGCGCGCGCTGGCACTGGGGAATGGACTCGCGAGCTCGGAGGTAGATTCGCGCACGCGGAACTTGAGGACTCGTGGCCTGGCAGGCGGTCAAGGCAGAACTCGCGGGTAGGAGCTGGTCCACGGGTGCGAGATTGGAAACTCGCGGGTTGGGCGCTAGAGGGCACTCGCGGGCACTCTGGTTTCCCGGGCGCGAGTGCGGAAACTCGCGGGCACTGGGCGACTCGCGGGCGCGGGCTCGAGGCTGGTCCAGTCCCGGTGACTCTTGATACTCGATTCGCTCTAATTTCTCACACGCTTCTCCGATTGACTCGAAACTTTGACCCACACACACTCCTCAAATCTTTTTTTATCTACCAACTGTTTATTTCGTCTCATAGTGATGAAGATATATCTGTTACAATCGTCATCTAAACTGAGAAGAAATCAAACATATAATTTAAAACTATAGGTAATATAATACTAGAAAAAATACAATTAGTTGTTTTTAGTTTTCAAAAGTGATATGTAGGATAAAAATAATTTTATTTGAAACAAAACATATAACATAATGATGGAAAGTCTTGTACTGTGATCAGAGATCNGAAGTAATTAATTCGATCATGTTTGATTATTCAAAAGAAAATAACTTTAATTCAATAAAATACCATCATAACATTTATCTTCTATTCGTCACATTTTGATAACGTCGCATAATAGCTCATTACCAATATTCTGAAAGATATATTTTTTCTAATACAAGTTACCAATTAGTCATTCAACATACCATATCGCATTGGGTTGCACAATGAATATTTTATAATCTTTATGGTTGAAAAAACTCTCTCCACAATAGTTGTGGCAACAGGTAAAATCAATGACAACTTAACCAACCAATAAACCAATAAAATACAATCAATTTCTTGTAGAAACCATCTTCTGAGCAAGAACCCCAATATTTTCCACATCACTGAAAATTTTATCTAACTGCACGTCAAAAATAATGTTAATTCTCAAGTTGATTTCCAAGTCCATACAGATTAACACCAACAAAATTACATAGATAGAAAATTGCAAGGTCAGGTAACTTTTCCTTATTGAATGCAGAAAACGAGTTTCTAGGACCAAAACATATTATGATAGAAGTAGTTTGTATTCACTTCATTGTGCCATGGACAGAAGTAGTTTTGTGTTCGTTTAATCAAAGCGATGATTTAGCTCTTGAGCTTGCAAGTCAATCACTTGCATAAAATAAAATAGATCAACTCGATAATGGTGAAGATTTCTCATCTTTTCACTTTGATGCCATGATCTTCCATAAGTTGTATACAAATCTTCCATAATCAGTATAGTTATCTCATGATCACAGCAAAACTTTGAGACTTCAACCGAAAAATCCTCCTAACCATTTTCTCTCATCTCTTGGAGACGGAATTTTGTTACTTGAACGAAATTCATTACATTTACAACATCTTGATCTTTTCTTTGTAGAACTCTGAGATAACTAATGTATTACTCTCAAAATTTTCATCATAAGATGTAAGCCAAATATAAAGTTAATGGTCTCAACCCTTTTGGAATCATCATTCCTATTCTCCACAAAATACTCAATAACATTGACAACATATGAAAACAAATGCATTAAGTTAATGAGAGTACGGAGTACCATAATGAGTACTCCATCGAGTGTCTCCTTACCGCTTCAAAATCATTTCTTGGTGATTGATTTGAATTATCCTGTATTAATAGCAAAATTGGCTAAAGGTATGAGTCATAATTATTATGGAGAACCCGTGTGGCAACGGACTTTTTGATCTTTATGCTATCATTTTCAATACCTTGGATGACTTTTCCCATTTGGTTTTCTCGAAGCATGTCTCAGTGCTTACAATAACCTCTAACAACAATACCTATATGAGTAACTGTGATATAGCCACATAGGGATAACCCGGTCTAGAGGTCTCTTACTCGACCGGTGAACCACTTGAGCGACTCGCATGTCGATACGCTCAAATCGACTTCCCTAAAGTCGATTCTATCATGAGCAATCAAGAAGAGGCAGGAATTGGTCTAGTCGACTCTTGCAAGTCGACCTTTGTCTATCGACTTCCCCTAGTCGACGTAAAGGGGAGAAAAACATCAGGAGCACAGCTCCCATTCATCAGATGTTCTAGGTCGACTTCTACTAGTCGACTCCATTATGACGACTCTCTGAAGACGACTTCACCACAGAGGGTCAAACCAAGCGCAGCCTCCGAAGCCGCACGTATTAATAAGTTGACCCCTTAACTCTCGAGGTCGATTCTGCACATCTCGAGGATCAAAACAAGTGAAGACGATTCACTACACTTGCAACATATCCGAAGCTCTACCCACTACAAAGAGGATAAGAAGGAATCTTGTGATGACTCAGCAACAAGGGGAGACGAATCGATCGGGGCATTTTGGACCTTCTAGGTCCACCAACTTGGGCATTTTGGGCACTCCAAGTAAGTATTCACTCCTATATAAAGGAGGCGAGGTAACCCAAACCCTGACTCTCATTCATTCCCACTCTCCCCATAGCTGCTGCGCAGCCTCTCTTCATCACTCTCATACTGACTTGAGCGTCGGAGACTCTACGCCGGAAACACCTCCGGCGTTGAGTTTTTGCAGGAACCTCGCGGTCTAGTGACGGTTGGGAAGCGGTTCAAACAGATCTGAGCTCACAACCACCGGTTTACTTCAGATCTAGAAGTAGACCCATCAAACTGTATTTAAAAAAGAACATACACTTGTATGTGTTTTAGCAACAGCATCATATGTGAACTGGAGCTCATGAGCAAAATAATGGACATAATAAGCACTAGAGTTTCTCATAGGCATGAGGCTTTTTAGACCATCAAACTCATCTCTCGTGTTGTCAGTCCAATCATTACCCTGCCCTCTGAATGTGAAAATGCTCAGGCCATAAGCACAAAACAAAGAGTAAGTACGTTTCTCGAATGATGTTGCAGTTGTATCACTAACATCGACAATTCCAAAAAAATGTTCAGTGATACATTCATTCTTATTTATATAGCAGATAAAACCCCCCATTTTCTCTTTGCTTGATACATGCAACACTAATAAACTAAATAGAAAAAATAAAATCATTTCTAAGATCTTCAATAATAACATTCGTTGTTTCAACTACAACCGCATTTATAATTTCTTTTTAGTCTTAAGAGAAGTGAGTTTAAGATTTTCAGGAGCATTTTTCAGTACAACATTCTTTATTTCCTCATTACATGAAGAAGAACTTCTAGAAGTTCAATGAAATTTCCCTTGTTTAATGATCCTATTAGCTCATCATTCCCTGAAAACGCAAACCCTGGCTAAGAAGATAGCGTAAACAAACAACTGAAGCATTCAATCTACAATGATACAAATCTTCTATTGATTTGAAAATTTACAAATAGACACTTCAATGTGCTGTGCTTGATTGGCATGAAGACATTTTCTATCATTCTTAGTAATTCTCACATTTCTTTTGCACTTAATTGCCCTAGAATGTCTAGCTGTCCTCAGTTCAGTTTTGAAGCTCAAAAGCATGCCATTTTAAAAGTGGGATCATTAAACACATGAAACTTGACCCTCTCATTTTCTTCTATCAGAGCTGCATTCACTCTGCAACTCATCATTGTAAACAACATCTTGTTCATCACCAAGTCCCTCACTCTCATCTAAATAATTATCATTAACTATATTTTGAGATCCTAACCAAACAATATCAACATCAACATTTTCATCAAAAAGTTTATCAATATCTAACTTATCCTCCCTCATATCATACTCCGATTCAAACAAGCCATCACTCCCGTCATCATTTTCACTACTATGTTCTTCTCCCCTAACATCCACAATACTAGCCTCACCATCCCCTCCCCCCCTCATTGCACCCTCCTGTAATTGCTTAGACTTTATCAAAAAACAACCCAACCTCTCTAAAACTTTTTAGTTGTTTTTCACAAAATTGTTGAAACTCATTTTCTATAGTAATCAACATAAATTACAGACCCCCCACATCTATGTAAAACCTCATAGGTTTAGAAATACCTTCCCTTTCTGCAATGGACTTGAAATCATTCAAAGTCATAGTTGTACAGTCCACATAGTCAAAAGTTATGGTCTCCCCACCTAGGTATGCTGAACCTTCAGAATCAATATCAAATGTCCCCCCATAATGAAGATTTACGGTCAAATATTTACTTTGAGATCCTGAAAAGGTAGACAAACAATAAATAAAATTCTTTATGTGAATGTGTGACCATTTTCCACTATTAAATAAGGTAATGAAATGAAACAAAAAAATAATAAAAAAATATTGTTCCAAGATTCCCCTATCTCACATAGTCCTACATGTTCCCTAATTATTATTCAAGAAAGCTCAATGAATGCAATGCCACATATTACAAATACACACACATCAAAGCAGGACCACAAAAGACAAAACACAAGACTCCAACATCAACCTTTCTCACCAAAAAATGAACCGCATAAATTCGATTCAGAACCTACTTATTACAAGTAGCACGTTAATTTACCGCATAAATCAAACAAACTTACATACCATATGTAGGAGTGGGTAAATGATGATCTCTAATCCGCCTTAACTTGATTTCACATTCTGGAACAGGCAAACCTTGAGCTATTTTTTTTATAGTACTCAGGTTTTTTTTTTTTTTTTTCAAACAACACCCCAGGAGGGTGGGGGGTTAAGGCCGAACCCCCAACATGTATATAAAAATGCCCTAAATGGGCTGAAAAGTTAAAAAGTTACAAATCCAATGTCTGATATACATCAAGTCAACCGAAACCAAACCAAAAAACAAAATCAAGAAAAAGTACAAGGAACAACTGACAACTGCAGCGAGAAATACAAAAATAACAGATCCTGGTCCGAGGAGAGTCTCGGTGAAAAAGTTTGCATCACAGTGTGGGAGATGCACCAAAAAATAGGACCGGCTATACAAATCTGAATGAAGGGTATCCCATCTGGTCCATCTGTATGAGGGTGCGGAGGCGGAGGGAAATATCGTTAGGGTGAAGAATGCGTCTCATGGGGGGAGGAGGCTCCGATGCCAGCGAGGAAGTCAGCTGGCCGGTTCCCCTCGCGGAAGATGTGCGAGATCCGAGAGCGAATCGACTGATGGCCAGATGACAAGAGAGTGATGACAGCGGCGGTGTCCAACTCTATCCATTGATAGTACTCATGTTTCGAACTGATTTTTTCATTGTTCTTAGGACGATGAGAGATCCAATTTTTTGTGTCTAGGTTTAGAATGGGGAAGTCGAATTCGATTTTATTTTTCTGATTTAGGGCTTCGATTTTTCTCTCATTTTGATAGGCATTATTCACTTGTCCACGCAATCGTCCAGTCATCGTCACATGAAATTTAGTTATTTTAGGTAATGGCGTGGAAAATAGGAATCACGCCATGTAGGGAAAAATTGCACTATTCGTCCACTAACTTTGTCCTCGTTGCACTTTCGTCCTTTAATTGTTTCCCGTTTACAATTGGTACACTAACTTTTTTTTTTTGGTAATTTTAGTCCAAAATGACATTCTGGTGACCATTTTCGTCGGAATAGATGATGTGGCATCCAGTCAGCTCGTAATTTCCATTCCCGGTTTGATGTGGCACGAGGGTGGGCCACCTGTTTTGACACATTGAAAAAAATAATATTAACAAATAAAAAAGAAAACAGAAAACTATAAAATCCACATGTCTTGACATGTGGATTATATCATTAAACAAAAAAATGCGGGAAAATCTCACACTTCCCATTTCCATATGCAAAGAAAAACCCTAAGCAGAGAAGAAATTCTTGAAATTCTCCATTTCCATATTGAATCAAAAGCCCACTCTCGCATAAAATCGTTATTGCATCGAACGGGCGAAATCTGCCATAATCCTTCCATCAGGAATCGAAAATGGTGATCAAAAGAGATAAGAAGCACTCCACCTTACCACCTCCTTTATATCGTGAGTTTTTTTTCTTTCTTTAATTTGATTTTTTACAACATGTGGTCCCTGAATGTTAGTTTTATATTTTATTTTCGATGTTGGTATTATTATTAAATTAGGGTTGTGTGGTCCTATAATTTTGGTTTTTGTGTTATAAATTTTATGTTTCATTTTTTGAATTAATTGGAATTTTCTTGGCCCACAGACCCAGATTCTAATTCACTTACTGTCGTGGTTCATCATGGAGGTGTCTTCTGTTTGTCCTATTTTTGTTGCGTTTTTCGTGTTTATTTTATCCTTCTTTTTCCCCCATTTTAGGTCCTTTCTTTAGTTTTTAGTCCGTTTCATGTTTTATTATGTGTTTTCCTTCATCTTGAGTCTTTAGGTGTTTTTCCATTTGTTTTTCCGGTTTTCTTTTGTGTTTTGTCGTTTTTGGTGTGTAGGTCAGGAGCTTCAAGCGAATTTTCTCTTCAAGAAAAGCTGGTTTTGAGAGCACAATTGGATAGATGGGTTTGTTAGTGACACGTAGCAAAAAACGGAACTCAATTCCGAGTTCGGATGAGCCCAAACGAGCCCGAAACGTAAAATAGCGCAGTGCAGTCCAAAGTCGCGAGTCGCGAGAGAAAAGTCGCGACTCGCGAGGCTACGTCGCGACTCGCGATAAAACAGAGCCTCCGACCAGCTGCGCGACCCCACGACCCATCCGACTCGCGACTCGCGAGTCAACTCGCGAGTCGCGACCTGTTCGACCCTGTTTTTATTTTTCTCCGTTTTTACTCGTTTTAGCTCCGTTTTTTGAGCTCTATATATGAAAACGAACCCCCAGACCTAAGGAACAATCCCCAATATCGTTCCTTTCAATTTTTCTCTCCAAAAACTCAATATTGTTAGGATAAATTTCTCCACTTTTCTTTTTTTTCTCTCATGCTTGGATTGTTGGACACAAAGTTATTTGGATTGAAATCTTGCAACTCTTAATCCGATTGTAAGTTTTTCAATTCTATTTTATTATTGTTGATTGGTTTTATGTTCTTAATTCCGGTTAACATGAAATTGAATCTAAGCATGAGGTAATCCATTCACCTAGGGTTAGGGATTTTGATTCTTGTTTTGAATTATGAGGAATGTGTTTTGTTCAATCTATACGAGTTGTGTGAATTATATGGTTAGTTGATTGATCACCATTCTAACCTAGTTAATCGACGTTTAGAACCGAGAGGGGAGACGTCGGTCGATTTAGGCTCGTATAGAGTAGACATGTTCGTAAAAGTATTGTCTATGTGTTGCTTGTTTGAATGAATTTATCGTTTATGTTTGTGCTCTTGTTACGAAGAGTTATTGAGCATAGCCCTCTAGACGTGTAGGCTTGTTTAATCTCGTAACCGAACAAATAAGCGTTCAACATAGTTTAAGACTTGATGAGATTTCCCGACCCCTAGACCTTCTTCTTTTTCTCTAGAAATTTAATTGTTATTTCTTTAAATTGTTTTTCTAGTTCTAGATTGTTTTAGTTGATTCCCCAAATCAATCGTGATTAGAGTGTTTAGGACTTATTTTCTTTTTGTGTGTGATCAAGACCAACGCTAAATTCCGAACCGTCTTCCTCGAGAGATCGACCCGGGGAACGAATCTTTTGATTCGGTACTCGGTAAAAACATAAAATAATTTGCTACAACATCTTCCAAAACTATCCCAGTTTGAGTTACATTGGGGGTTCAAGAATTGTTCTTGACTATGTGGAGAAGGTACACATGAACTTCGCTTTACTACATTGGCAAATGAGATTATAGGTCCTGGTAAGAAAAAATTTCAAATTGATTTTTGTGGTCGTCTAAGTCTCATCTGCAATGATAGTGATCTTTTGGTGGGGTTTGTGGCTGCCTTGTCTTGTAGAGAAATGCATCTTTATGTAGAAAACGTTGTCAATGAAGTTGTAGAGTCTGTTGATAGTGAGTATTGTTTGGGAAGTGATTCTGAAAATGATGATGACCTATTTGATCACCACATGTTGATGAAGTAACTTCGGTGGAGCATTCTGTTGATGGAACTACTTCTGGTATGGGTATATCTGTTGAAAGACCAACAAGGGAAGATGTTGGGGATTTTGGTATGGTTGGCTCATCTAGAGAATCTGATAGGGATTCTACTAGTCTGAGTAGTGAGGATGATATTGTGGATGACAAAGATGACTTTAATGAGCATAGGTTGTCTGATGATGAAGCAAATGGTGAATCAGCCCTTGTATTTAATATTGCTCAGATTTATGATCCCACCTTCAAACTTGGGATGTTGTTTAGCAGCAGAGCTGAATTCAAAAAAGCAGTTGATTCTTATGCTATTAAAATCAAAAGGACTCTGAAGTTTACTGAGAATGATAAGTACAGAGTGTATGTGAAATGTGGTTATGAAGACTGCTCTTGGATGATTAATTTGATTCAGGTGAAGGACTCAACCTCATACAGGATCCACAAATTTCTTGATGAGCACAATTGTCCTCCTACATTTGATGTCAAAAATGTGAAAGCACCTTGGCTGACAGCTAGATACCTCGATGATTTCAAGACAGATCCAAACAAAAAAGTGAAGCCATGGAGGAGGGAAATAGTTCACAAGCTTGGTTGCCATGTTTCTAAGTTTCAAGCTTATAGGGCTAGAAGAAAGGCATTAAAGATTGTGGAAGGGTGCCCTAACTATCAATTCACCAAAATGTGGGATTACAGAGAAGAACTTCTTAGATCAAATCCTGGTTCTACTGTTATTTTGGGTACTGATGATGCTGAAAATGGTGAGAAGAGGTTTAATAGATCTATGTTTTCTTCAGTGCACTTAAGAAAGGCTTTAAAGCAGGTTGCAGGCCAATCATAGGAGTTGATGGTTGTTTCTTAAAAGGGCCTCATAAGGGAATTTTGCTCACAGCTGTTGGTGTTGATCCAAACAATAATCACTACCCTCTTGCATATGCCATTGTATCTTCAGAAAATGGGGAGACTTGGGAGTGGCTTTTTATTCTATTGAAGAATGACCTCGAAATACAAAACCAGCAAGAGTGGACCTTTATTTCAGACAAGCAGAAAGGCCTAATCCAAGCTTTTAGGTCTGTTCTTCCTGATTGTCACCATAGATTTTGTGTGAGACATCTTCATAACAACTTTCAGAATGCTTGGTTTAGAGGTCTAGATTACAAGAAGGCTCTTTGGAAATGTGCATTGGCAACTACTGTTGGTGAATTCAACCTCTGCCTTGATGAGTTGAGAGAACTAAGTCCAGAAGCAGCAAATTGGCTCAGTGACAAACCACCATCAGAGTGGAGCAAGTCACATTCCAGTGAAGGCCTCAACTGTGACATGTTACTAAATAACGTCTGTGAGACATTCAATGGAAACATATTGGAGGCTAGGGACAAACCTGTGCTAACTATGTTGGAGTGGATTAGGAAATATCTAATCACTAGGCTTCAAGAAAATAAGGATAAGGCTGCCAAAATTTGGAAGGATAGGTTGTGTCCAAAAATTAAGGACATCATTTCATAGAATATTGAACAGGTGGGTAACTGTATTCCTCTCAAGTGTGATCATGCAAACTGGGAGGTGTCTTGTTTCAATGGTGGGCAATTTAATGTCAATCTTGAGCTAGGGACTTGTACTTGTAGAAAATGGGGCTTGACTGGAATACCTTGCACTCATGCTTGTAGTGCAATGTTTTGTCCAAAATGGACCCATTTGATCATGTTGCCACTTGTTATTCTGTTGATACATATCACAAAGTGTATGGACCAGCTATAATGGGCATTAATGGTGAGGTGATGTGGGATAAGAGTTTGTATATTCCGCCATTGCCTCCAAATTTTGGCAGAGGTGTGGGAAGACCAGGTAAGTCTAGAAGACTTGAAACTGATGAGAGACCTTGTAAGAATAAAAAACAAGGTAAAGTAATGTATGGACAACAACTTAGAAGGCAACAAAAGAGTGTGAAGTGCAAGAAATGTGGTGTTGTGGGCCATAATAGCAAAACATGTGATAGGAGGACCTACAATGAAGAAGCTGGGATGAGATCAAATAATGTTCAACCACCTCCGACATCCACAGTTGGGCTGGTGTCTAGGGTAAAATTCAAAACTTTGTTAATTTCAAATTTCTATGTATTACTTCAACTTTTTGATATTATTTTTGCCTTAATTTTCAATCTCATATAGGACGGTGTTGGAGGATCAGTGCACATGACAAAGAAACAAAAACAGCATCCAACATTGTTGCCCCCTGTTTTTGAAGAAGCTGAAGAGATTGAGGTCTTCATTCTCACACAAATGTCTCAGTCAACCACAACCACAAACACAAACATTGAAGGACCCTCAATGTGGGATCAACTTAAGAAGGGAAGAACAAGAGATCCTCCAGTTGATGACTCTAACCAGAAGAAGTTTAAACATTTGTCACAAATTTAAGAAGTGTGAACAATTGATGGCTTGTTTTGTGCTCTAGTGACTGTTTTTGTAGTAATATTGACATTGTCTGCTTTTGAAATTTCTGTAATGAATGTGGTACTAAAACTTTTTTTTGGAGAATCTGATTTGGAACAGTTGATGTATGATTTTGGAACCTCTAGTGCTTGCTATGGTTTGGTGTTTTTGCTGTAATATATTTTTCTTTTGGTGAAGGTTGATGACTCATGTATAAGCTTGGTTGTCTTGGATGTTTGTGTAAGATTGTTAAACTCTGTTTTGTAGTAATATTTGTTAACTTGTGTTGTCTTCTCTTTTGTGTAGTAATTTCTGTAGGTGCAGTAATGTTTGACTTCTCTGTTTGTGTACATAATGTTTTGGAACCATTAATGGTTTTCAAAGTGGTGTTATATGTATATTAGTTCACTAGTGGTTTTTTAACCATTAGTAGTATTCAATGTGGTGTTATATTTAAAAATTTATAACAAAAGCATACAAAGAGTTGGAGGTACAGAACACAACTCTCATACATCAATACAAACTAAAGGTTGAACATCATAGTTGAAGGTACAGAACACAGCTCTCATACATTACAATAGTTGAAGTTTAACATCATCAAAAGAAGTCAACACATTACAACAGCAACTGAAAACTATGAGTAACCAAAAGGTTTAACATCATAGTTGATAACATTACAGAGTGAACAAAATTAGACATAACCAATTGTTGCAACTTCCGTCAAAAGAATTCTACTAAACAAAAGTACAAAACAAACTAAAAAAACCAGAAAAGCCACAACCATAATTTCATGAAGGAGTAGAGGAGCTGGAAAAAAAACAAAAGACACATCCATAGGAATGCAGGTTCTCTCCATCCTTTCATGAAGCAGGAAAGGAGCTGAAACACAACAAAAGCCACAACCATAACAATGCAGGTTCTCTTCATCATTTCAAGCCTCTTCTTCAATTTTTCATTTTCAGCTTCCATGACATTCACTTTACGTATTAATCCTGGAATTATAGCCATTGACCGACGACACATTGGAGGTTCCTCCCATTCAAAAAATTTGCAACCTCCCTGAGAAGAAAAAAAATAAAGAAAGAACAGTTTTACTCAAGAAGCCTAATTTGAGACTCAAGTACCCTGATTTCATTGTGCAAATTAGTTACCTTCCATTGAAGAGAAGAACCCTTATTTGGGACTCAATAAACCTAATTGAAGAACAAGAATCCCAAAATAGTACACTCAAGAACCCTAATTGAATTTTGCAAATTACTTACCTTTTGACAGGAATGGAATCTTCGTCCAGATTGTCGTCAGTCCATGACGTGCGAGGCACAGCTCTCTTCTCACAGTAGCAGTCAATGTCGCTCGTCGTGTGTTGTATACAAATTGTTATATTTTACCGACTATCGAATCAAAGATTCGTTTCCCGGGTCGATCTCTCGAGGAAGGCGGTTCGGAATTTAGCTTTGGTAATGATAACACATAAAAAGAAAACAAAATCCTAAACACTCTAATCAGAAAAGGGGTTTGAATAATTACTGTCTAAAAAAACAATAAAGAGCAATAATCTACCTAAAAATGTGGATGGAACAAAGATGGAGAAACTAGGGAATCGGGGATAATTAATTCAAGTTCTAGCAAAGCCGGGCAATTAATCGTTCGGTTCGAGATTAACACTCTCGCTTAAACATCTAGAGGTTCGCTCCCAATAACTCTTCGTAACAAGGGATTGAACATAGACCAACAAACTCGAGCATACAACACAAGCCAATTATCCCAATCCCAATAACTTTTCGTAACAAGGGACGGGACATCGACAAGCACGTATTTCAATCTCAACCCATAGATTACTCAGTTACGAAATAATCTATCTCATGCAAGCCTAGGTCTACGACTTCGCCCCTTTCGGTTCAAAAAGTCGCTAATTTAATTAGAAGGTATTTAGTCAACTAATCATTGGAATCAACAAAACCAAACTCGACAACTCAATATCCACTTGTTACCAACTGCACGATCGAAGTGTCACCCTTCGATTACATCAAACTACCAAGCACAATTTCATCGATTCCTAATCAATTCAACTCACATAAGCATGAACAATCTTGAGCCCGACAAATGCACGTTAAACAAGAATAATCATCCCCTATCCCTAGCAATTAGATTTAGCTACGAATATCAAATTCAACAATCATAATCATCCTTCTCAAATAACCATTATTCATGAATCAAATAAGAGAAATGAGTACTTACAATCAATCCAAGTTCCAAAGTTGAATTCGAAATACAAGCTTAATCCTTAGATGTAGAGAAGAAGAAGAGGAGAAATGAAAAAGAAAGATGGAAAGAGGAGGAAAAACGATGGAGAAAAATAAAGGGAGGCGAAGGGAATTTTTTTGCGTTTTTCTAGCCCTAGGTTCGTCCGCAGGAGGGGGAGAATGAAAAAAGCCAGAAGAAAATGAGTTTTTGGGGTTCTTATATCATTCTGGGACTTGCAGGGGGTCTTAGCGCCGCTAAGGGGGGTTAGCGCCGCTAAGGTGCCTTAGCCGTTCGAGCCAGTACCATGTAGCGCCGCTATCCTGTGTGCCTTAGCGCCGCTAAGATGCCTTAGCGGCGCTAAGATTCTGGGCAGCCTGCTGGACTTTGCTTTTCGGGCTCGTTTAGGCTCGTTTGAACTCGGAATTGAGTTCCGTTTTTTCCTACGCGTAGCTAACGAACCCCTCTATCTAACTATATAATCTCAGCACATATTTTCCTGAAAACTTGTCCTCCCAAAGCTTCCGACCTGCACACAAAAAATGAAAGAAAAGACGAAGAAAACCGGAAAAACACAGAAATACTCACAAAGACGCGAAACACGAAATAAACGACAAAACGACTCTAAAACCACACAAGTCACTCAAAATGGGGGAAAAAGAACGAGAAAATAGACACGAAAAACGTAACCAAAATGGGACAAACATCGTGTACGACATTCTTCGTTCTCTAATTTTCCTTCAATTTGGCAAGATTGGAAATTATGAAAGGTAAGTTATTTTGTGTTCCTCGATTTCGAATTTTTATCCCCAAATCGTTTTTCTTTTTTTTTTTTTTTTATTTTTGTTTAATGAAATAATCCACATGTCAAGACATGTGGATTTTATAGTTCTCTGTTTTTTTTTCTGATTTTTTAATATTGTTTTTTTCAATGTGTCAAAACAGGTGGGCCCACCCTCGTGCCACATCACGCCAAGAATGGAAATTACGAGCTGACTGGACGCCACATCATCTATTCCGACGAAAATGGTCACCGGAATGTCATTTTGGACTAAAATTACTAAAAAAAAAAAGTTAGTGTACCAATTGTAAATCGGAAGCAATTAAAGGACGAAAGTGCAACGAGGGCAAAGTTAGTGGACGAATAGTGCAATTTTTCCCGCCATGTAGGCATATCGCGCCCGAGTGATTAATGGACCAAATATGATGAACTTTTCAACTTATTGTATTAAGTTTGATGTCCGCGAAATAGTTAACCATTCCTGAAAAATGGCCAATATAACGGACAAAAAATGAAATTTTGCCCACTAGTATATTTTAAAAAAGTTTGGTTATATTTAAGGTGGTGTTTGTTGTGTTCCTCCCCTTTTTCCTTATGGAAATGTAATTGAGCTAGTTATCTCCCGGACTTTGTACATATTTTGATGTTAGTTATACAATCTATCGTCTCGGAGAAAAATAAAATAACTGTACATATTTTGATGTTAGTTATACAATCTATCGAAAAAAAAAAATAACAAAAAAAGCGGCCTAAATTCACTCTTAGGGTTAGTTTTATTTATGTGTTAGTTTTTTTTCCCCTTTTGTTCTCATATGATCTTCAATTGCTTTGTACAGTGGATTAATTAAACTAAGCATCAATCAATAAGAAAACATTTTTTGAGATCAAAATTCTGGAAATTACCGATACATCGACTGGACATCTTTTTATGTATGGAGGTTTTAAATTTATGGGCCGAAGAAAATCGAGTATATAGAATTTGTGTTTGTGTGGATTTTGTAAGTGATGAAATCCAATTAATTTGTTCCTTTTAATCGTGGAAAAACTGGTCCAGGACCAATTGCTCTTACTGTAATGATAGTATGATACTGCTGTGTGAACTTAGTCCGGCCTGTTTGTGGTTTACTACCATATCTATCATTATGCAAATTACAACTACCACACACACACATACACTCACACTTTCCATTACATGGATCCACCAAATACACTACTCACTCACACTGTGATAATCAATTCAATCAAATCTTCACTAAACCTCGATGTCCTGTCTTACGTGGCGGAGCACCACCGGAATTGTGACCTCCGGCGCGCTGAGGTGCGGCAGGTGGCCCTCAGTTGGCATCACCTCCACAACCGACGGACCTCCCAAGTGTTTGCACAGGTACTCTCCCACCGCAACTGGGACCATAAAGTCCTTGGCGCTGTGGATGATGTGGCACGGGACCTTGATGTGGCCGATGTAGGGCCTCAGGTCGAGCCCGAATATCATACGGGCTATGCAGCACGAAATATCAGGCCGCATGTTGAACAGGGTCCTAACGTACTCCTGCACGGCCGCCGATTCCAGGTCACAAGCCAGTATAAGCGGCGCAGATCCCAGCGCCATCGACTTGTAGTTCTCCTCCATCGACCCCACCACCTCATCTATCTCCTTCTGCTCAAGTCCACCGTAATAGTCCTCTGTGTTCGCTAATCTATATATATACATATATTCATCTCAAAACATGTCAGAATTAAGCTCCACGAGAAATAAAAATGATGATGATGAGGCAATTCAATCAATTAATTAATTTAATTACCTTGGGGACGGCGAAATCATGATGAGCTTGTGAAACAAGTCCGGCCTGAAAATAGATGCCACGGCTCCGGCCATGGCTGACATGGAGTGGCCCACGTATATGCACTTGCTGACGTGGAATTCGTCCAGAATAGCAATCAGGTCATAGGAATAGCCTTCCAAGCTGGAATAACGCTCGAAATCGAAATAGTCGGGATTGGTGGTCCCCGCGCCCATATTGTCGTAGAGCAGGACTTTGTAGTCGTCTACGAGGTGGGGGACGAGAAGCTTCCACACGGATTGGTCGGTGCCGTAACCATGGCTGAGGACTACGGTGGTCTCGCCCGACCCTAAAATGGACACGTTGTGGGCTAATCCAATTGAGCTCATCTCTATTTTTATTTTACGATATTATTATGAATTCTTTTTCTTTGTGTTAGTTGTGTGTTAAGAGTCTATGGCCGTGGCTTCTTTTGTAGGTGTAAAGTTGTCTTGCTGGTATTCTCATTTGAGATATTTACCTACCTTACGTCTAGATGTGTTTTTAATTAAATATAAACGAAAAATATATTTTATTAGCAAAGTTATGAGAGTTGACCAAATTATATTTGCATATAAACAAAAAGGGAACAAGCAGTTTCATACTTTCAAAGTTTTAATGAGGGTAGGTTGAGATATTTATGGAGAGTGGCAGATTTTGTGAAATTTTATATGGAGACCAAACGTTTTAGTTATAGTTAATTCCAAAAAATATAATCACATTCAAATAATTTATTAGTTTTCCCTGCAAAGACAAAGGGCACCTTCAAAAATCACAATTAAACTTCCTATTCAATTTGTAAGTGCATTCGCAGAAATGTGGAGCTCCATGGACGGCGGCGGCCGAGAAGTCAAGGGTCTGCGAACAACATCGAAGATCGTTTAGAGTCTGACTCGAGCGTTGTTAGTTACGCGACTAGCGGCGGTGTGACTGGAGATGTGGGAGCGGCGCGACGACCAGAATGAGGAGTTATGTTGAGCTTGTGAATGGAGATTTGATAAACTAACATGGCACCAGACAGACAAACAGGTCAATTTGATATATCAATAATCAAATCTGACATGGGGTTTGAAGTGGAATTTTTACATCAACATCGACTAGCGACGGTGTGACTGGAGATTTGATTATCGACGTACGGCCATTTACCGAGGCACGGAGGTCAAGAGTCTGTTTTTAGTATATTTATAGTATATTTTTAGTATATGTTCCCGACAAATATACTATTTTTTAGTACATGTTAAGGTCGACAGTATATTTTTAGTATATGTTAAGGTTGATAGTAATTTTTTTAGTATATATACATGAGTACGATTTCAACTTGTTTTGTACTGTTAATACACTTGATTTTATATGATTGTTTTGGTATAATAGAAGATTATTGCAACATATACTGAATATATATTAACTATAAACGCAATTTATTCTTTGCTACATCAAAATTTTTGTACTGATTTTAATCCCACATACCGTTGTGATGAACGAATATCATCATCTTCGAGCACACAATTGAATGACACACAAAAATATTATTCTCTATGTATATGAATATATAACAAAAGAAACATAAAGTTGATCGCTTTGCTGTTCGAACATTTGTGATTTCAGTTTTGATAGTTCACAAAAAATATTTTCCAGCTCGTCTGTTTAATCTCTCATGCAAAAACTGATATTATGAAACTCATTTTTCCATCCCATGTATAGATATTTTCTATAATTATATAAAAATCTCATCTGTTACATTCTGACTAGTGCGTGGCCCGTGCGATGCACGGGAAATCAATATTTTGATTATATTGTAAATTAAATAAATAAATAGCATTAATCATCATTTACTCATTATTTTTAAATTAAATCGGGTTGGACACAGTCCGACTGGATGGACCGAGAACCGGTTTATAACCAGTCTAGTGCACTTGAATAAAATATTTGCTATCGAATCCGTCAACACCAGTCTGTTGGACTGGTAGGATCGATACGATTTTCTAAGCAAATTTTGTTACATTAAAAATTATTTTAAATAAAATTACATATTTAAATAAAATAGAGATTTATAAATTTTTTATCAATTAGTTTAAACATTTGAATATATAAATTGTTTATATATTTAAGTAACACTTTTTATTGAAATTTATTACAAAAAAGTACTATATACATATATATATATATATATATATATATATATCAAAGTATTATGTATTAAAATCTGAACAACCACAAATGATTTAATAAAATAACTTGATCGTTTCGATGACGGTCCGGTTTTGAAAACCTTATATTTACCGTACGTTAATAAAATAATTATTTTGTTCACATAAATAATAATAAAATGATATATAACTATTCATAAATCATTAATCATGTAGTCATAAAAGTATTGTTAATATGATTATTTGAAGTTTGGACTACATCACATTCACGTAATAAAGTATTTTCAATATTCAAATTTATATTTAGGTTCAATAATCGATTTTGTCTGGTCAAACTGATACATAACTTGGTTACCTGGGACCAACCAAGTTGTGTCAAGTTTTTTTTACTATTTTAAATATCACCTAAAAGTAATTCAATCAACGTGGGCAGTACCCTAATTCAATCACCCGATTGATCCAAAATAATTTCCTTATTTTCTTTAAATATAATATTTAATTTTATGAAATAAAAAAAATTTATGATTCATATGTTTACACCAAATGATAGTATATTAAGATTATAAGTTATATATCTAATGATGAATTATTTATTTTTATTTTATGCATATTAATTAAAAATAAACATAGTAATTTTAAAAAAAATCAAGATTAATTGATTGTGTATGCAATGTAAAAAATATTCTTAGCGGTCAATATATATATTTAACATGATTGATTTTTTGGATTAGAATATATATATATATATATTAAAATGATTTTATCATTAAAAGTCAAAAAGAAAAGATGCCATAAAGATTACAACTTTGAAAAGTTTGCAACCATTAATTTAGGAACCATCCGATTTTAAATGATTTATAATTTTTGAAACAGGATACGTGCATCAAAAACCCATTAATTTAGGAATCATCCAATTTTTTGATAATGAATTAAAATTAAAATGTAAAATAAAAAAATTATTGAAAATAATATATAATAAATGTGGTTTGACTTTTTCTTACTACTATTTATGGTAAATGTTAATTCTTATTATATATAGATTGGAGAAAGAGCGTTTAATTTGGGATTGGATATAGTATCCGCATAATCATAATTAATTCTCTTTAATATCTTACTAGTACGTAACCCGTGCGATGCACGGGATGTAAAATTTGGAAGAATAATATAACCTCACGTGCATTAGTATCGAAATTGAAATCATTAAAATACATAGGAACATTGTTGAATCATAAAAAGTTCGGTAACAATCATATATTATTAAAAACCTCCTTGTACACAACATTATGAGTTTGATTATTTGGTAGCTCTTCATTATCACAAACTAATATTTTCAAAAGAGACAAATCCTAAAAATCAAACTAATATTTTTGGTGAACAAACTAATATTTTTAGGATTGGTGAACAAACTAATATTTTAGGATTTCTAGGATTTGTCTCTTTTTTGTGAACAAACTAATATTTTAGGATTGGTTATATGAATAAGGCTACCTGTTTTTTGTGTTCTTTTCATTCATTTTCATTCAAACAATCCGATGACTTGTATAATGAAATCCGAATCTTAAGCCGAAATATTTAAAAAAAGAGTTTTTAAAAATTGAAAAGTCAAGGCAATCAGTTCAGATTAATTAAAGGTCAAAGAATATTCGCTCCTTGGAATAAAGACGTATGCTATCATTAACCAAATATCCGGTTATTGATATAGAGTAGTTACCAAGAAATAGAACGCGATAAGGACGCTTCATAGAAATATCAATGGGATAAGGTCATAACAGATTGTTATACATTTTAACGATAAAAGGTCAGATGGAATGATTCATTATAGTTATGTTGTAATTAATGAATTAATTAGATGTGTGAAAATGACATAATTAATGAGAAGTGTAAAAAGGACATAATTAATGAGAGTGTAAAAAGGACATAATTAATGAAAAGTGTGAAAAGAACATAATTAATGAGAAGTGTGAAAAAGACATAATTAATGAGAAGGATGAAAAAAAGGACAAAAATTTACCAGTTTTGGAAAATACTTAATGCAAATCCGACATTGACTATAATTTGACCTACTATTTTGGATAAATGTTAATTCTTATTATATAAGTATAGATTCCTACTAATAATTGTGAAAGTTCGTAAGGTTTAGTGAGTGAGTTGATTCTTGTTGGCGCGTGGTGGTATCTGAAATCAACCTGATGCCCGGCGAGCTTTGCGCGCCTCACTAAATGAGACACTGTCTGGATTCTTTGTTTAATCTGTTGGCATTTAATTTTAATTTTATTTTAATATTTGTGGGAATCTTGTGATCCGATTATGTAGGCAACTAACCGGATTGGAAGATGAAGACGTTTTTAACTGGATTAAATTTTATGTATATTTTGCCTTAAATTCTACTGTTACAAAATCATATTCAAATTATCTCATTACTTTAGATAAATGAGATACAATTATTTATTTATTTATTTTTCAAAGCCACAAAGTCTACTAACACTAGCTGATGATGCACTGCACGACATAGACAGCACGGCTTATCCTACATCTTCCAATTCAGATGGGTTCTCCCAGCAACTGAAAGCAAGTTCAGTCAAGTGAGAAAGCTTCTGAGGGAGACCTAAATCTCGTTCATGCAACTTGCATAAATTCTTATATTCCAACTTGAAAAGAAAAGAAAGATTAAGTAACTACCACACACACACACTCATTCTTTCCATTACATGGATCTACCAAATACACTACTCACTCACACTGTGATAATGATAATCAACTCAATCAAATCTTCACTGATCCGCGATGTCCTGTCTTATGTGGCGGAGCACCACCGGAATTGTGACCTCCGGCGCACTGAGGTGCGGCAGATGGCCATCAGTTTGCATAACCTCCACAACCGATGGACCTCCCAAGTTGTTGCTCAGGTACTCTCCCACCGCAACTGGGACCATAAAGTCCTTGGCGCTGTGGATGATGTGGCACGGGACCTTGATGTGGCCGATGTAGGGCCTCAGGTCGAGCCCGAATATCATACGGGTCATGCAGCACGAAATATCAGGCCTCATGTTGAACAGGGTCCTGCAGTACTCCTGCACGGCCGCCGATTCCAGGTCACAAGCCAGCATAAGCGGCACAAATCCCAACGTCATCGACTTGTAGTTCTCCTCCATCAACCCCACCACCTCATCTATCACCTTCTGCTCAAATCCGCCATAATAGTC